TGAACTTACAAATTGAGCTGCAGTACTCCAGTGGGTATTGATTCAGAGTGGTCTTGATTCAATGACATATAGTATGTATTAGGGTCCTACTCACAGAGTGCTACAAGGGTCAGCTATGCCAGTTCTTCAGGACCAAGGATAATGACTCCCTTACTGGCTTTTGGGTTTTCAGAATTATCTAGGGGTCTTTTAGTTCATTGGCCCATAAATGTCACCCCAATCTTCTCATAATTTTCATGCTACTATAACATACTATCACACATTGGATAACCTGTAAAAAAATAATAACTTCATTTCTCACAGTTCTGAAGGCTGGTCAGTCCAATATCATGGTGCTGGACCCTAACAAGGACCTTTCTGCTGCATCATCCCAAAGTGATAGGTGAGAAGATGTGAGGGTGAGAAAGAGAGAGAGAGAGACATTTTAAACAAACTACTCATGCAATAATAAACCCACTCTCACAACAACAATAATCCATTTGTAAGGAAAGAGCCCTCATGACTTAAATACCTCTCAATTCCATTGCACTGGGAACTAAGTTTCAAATACTTGAATTTGGGGGGATATAATTCAAACCATAGCGTTCTTATCCTAGATCCCAAAATTCACAGCTGTCTAACATGCAGAATATATTTACTTAATCCTAACAGCCCCACAAGTTTTAACTCATTTCAGCATCAAAAGTCTAGAATCTCTGTAAAGCAGTATGGAAATTCCTTAGAAAACTTAGAATGGAACGACCATTTGATCCAGGTGTCTCAGGTTTATACCCAAAGGACTTAAAAACGGCATGGTACAGTGATGTGGCCACATTAATGTTTATAGCAGCACAATTCACAATAGCTAAAGTTTGGAACCAACCTTGATGCCCTTCATAGATGAATGGATAAATATACACAATGGAACATTACTCAGCATTAAAAGAGAATAAAATAATGGCATTTGAAGGGTAATGAATGGAGTTGGAGAATATCATCCTAAGTGAAGTTAGCCAATCCCCAAAAACAAAGGCCAAATGTTTTCTCTGATAAGTGGATGCTAATCCATAATGAGGGTGGATGGAGCATGGTAGGAATGGAGGAACTTCAAATAGGGCAAAGAGGAGGGAGGGGAAGGGAGGAGACATGGGGGTAGGAAAGATAGTGGAATGAGATGGACATTATTATCCTAGGTATACGTATGAAGACACAAATGGTGTGACTCTGTGTACAATCAGAGAAATGAAAAATTGTGCTTCATTTATGTACTATGAATTGAAATGCACACTGCTGTCATGTATAACAAATTAGAACAACATCAAGAAGAAATGTCCAGAATCTCATCTAACTCGAGTATGGGTGAGAGCTCAAGGCAAATTTTCTACTAAGACAAATTCCCTACCAGCTCTAAAACTGTGAAATCAAAACCAGTTATATGCCTCCAGAACACAGTGGTGGACCAGGCACGGGATAGAAATCCCCACTCCAAAAGGGAGAAAGGGACAAGAAGAAAAGAATAACAGCAAGTCCAAATCCTTCTTTTGCCAGATTTTCCAGCTCATGGCTCTTAAATTCTGCGCTGCACAAAGCTCTAGGGCACAGACCATTCCAGCAAGTTCTCTGCAACTGCAGAAAAAAGGATCTGTCTTTACTTCAGCCTCCAACAGCTTATTCCTGGGTTCCACTTGACACCTCATCAGAATGGCCTTTCCTTGCCGTATTCCTACAACCCTTCTGACGAAAATCATTTCAGTAATCCCTAAGAAATTCCAGATCTTCCCTACAGTTCTTTCTTCTGATCCCCAAATGAAAATCCCCACTCACAACCATCAAGGCATTTTCTAGCCTGATTCTCCAAGTTCACCCAGCCTCTACCCAACAGGCAGTTCCAAAGCCCAATCCACTTTTTCACAAATTGGTACTGAAAGGTGAGGTTGTTTGTTATAGAAACAACCTCACCTTTCAGTACCAATTTTCTGACTTTGTGTTACTATAATAAAAGAGCAAAACTTGGGTAATTCATAAAGATAAGGGATTTATTTCTTACATTTATGGAGGCTGGGGAATCCAATTTCAAGGTGCCCAGCACCTAGTGAGAGTCTTCTTGTAGCATCATCCCGTGGTAGAAGATGAGAGAATGAAGGGGGGGCGTGAGAGACAGAGCAAGAGAGAGCAAAATTCAATTCTCTGACAAACCCACGTTCATGACACTGATGATGTACCCACACCTGCAATGACGGCTTCAGTCCATCCCCGAGGGCACAGCTGCACGAGCTAAACTCCTCTTGAAGTTCTCCCACCTCATCATAACTGATCTCCGTGTACCTTTCTGATGTGGGCACTGACCTACTCAGGATCTGGCCACTAACGGACACCAGACACCAACTGTGGAGCTTTTCTGGGTTGTGGAAGGGACACTGGCTAGACTAGACCCTCACAGGGAAACTAGAGAACTGAACACAGCCAGGGTCTTGTTTCAGAGCTTTGTCTCTTTCACGTCCATGGACAAACGTTCCCTCCACCCAACAGCTCCATGTAGGCAGTCACTCAAAGTCACATGTGTTTTGCTAATCACCGTTTGTACTTGGATTAGGCTCATCCTCACACAAAGGGAGGTAAGATCTCTGCCTTAAAAGTAGAACTCGAAGATTCTTCAAAGACCCTTATTCCTAAAATCAATATTTTTCTGATAAAGTGAAAATGCCCCCAGCTGACATGTGTGCTAAGATGGGTGTAAGTTAAGAGAGGCAGTTAGATGCCAGCAGCTCAAGGACAGAACGTCATGGGCCATTTCATACTTTTGCAATGTGCTGAGAATGTATTATCTCATTTCGTTTTCCTAAGATTTCTGCAGGTAAGAAGACAGATATGAATGTCTCCATTCATGGCCAAGACACAGAGAAAGTGATTGAGCCATGATCTCACAGTTATTACAGGTAGAAGAGGCCAGCAGTTGGATCTCCTTATATCTGTCAGTGCTCACACAAGGTCTTGGCTTTATTGTTGTCATAGGACCATGGAGCAGCTGTGGTCCCATCGGTGACATTCCCAGTGAACTCAGGACCAAGCGACAAATCATTGCCCAGGTGAAGTTTTCGTGCGTGTGGAAGAATGACCTGAGTGATCTGGAGGACAGGACACAGATCTCCACCAGAACTCCTAGCTAATCCCCTGGGTCTACAAGGTTTCTGTGGGGTTGGAGCCACTCTGAAATACTACTTATTCATATCAAAATCACATGGGTAGGGTTTGGCTTAAACGGCAAGGAGCTCAGAAATGTACATATTAAAGCTGTGCTTCCAGGTGCCAAAGCACCAACCTCTGGATGCTGAAAACATCATCAGTCACACTGGTTGTCTTTCGGTTCATAATAACAGCCATAAAGTCGGTGGGGTTAAGGATCTGAATACTGGGGGCCAACAGACCATCATCTGTCCCCACTACTTACCAGCCATGTGATGCTGACAATTTAATCTCTATGTGAACTCTGGTTTTCTCATCTTTGGAGTACAAATACCATTGACATCTATGCCCCAAAGTTGTTGTAAAGATTAAATGAGACCATGATTACAAAATGATTTCTGATGTTAGTAAGTGTTCATTAAAGACTAGCTGTTACCATAACTGACTTCTTAAAAGCTGAACTCCTGGCCCAGGGTGTTCTTATTCTAACAGTGTGTAATACACTTGATGATCATGTCTTCCTGTTTTCAGGGCTCTGTGTACAACATACCTTGATGCCCTTGAATATCTCCGTAGAGCTAAGTATAAATATGTTGGCATGGAATTGTGAACCATTCCAGTTGGAACCAGGACCAAGTTTAGTTCAGAATTCCATGGTGCTGCCAGATCTTACAGATTCTTACAGATATTACAAAAGACAAAGTCAGGAACAGTGGTTGTAATACTCAACGGTACACTCAGGGTCATCTTCTAGTCATCAAGACCTCTGATGGTGCACACACTTTACAGCTCTTAAGCACAAAAGTAGAGATTCTTAGGCCCTAAAAGGCAGCTAAGAGATGCTGACGTTGGCAGAAAACTTACCTTCCACTAAAAGGATGAATCTGCCTTCTAGTCCAGGTATTATTATGAAAGACTTCCATCAGTCCCCAAGCCTTTACAACTCCTGCAGGAACCTCTGGGACCAACCTCCCTCATGTCTCTAGATCTCTGCACACATGGGGGTGAGGCTGAGGTCTTAACCTCATGGTGGCCGCTGCCCTCACAAGTCAGACTTGCCCTTAGACAAGTCAAAGCATCTTCCAACCATTTTGCATCCTGCTCTGTTTTTAGCTGAGGTGAGGTATTTGACCCTTAGAAGCTGGTCACTAGGAAGATTTTCACAGTCCAGGAGTGAAGTTCCATCTCCAACAGTGGCTTAGGGACTTTAGCAATCCAAAATATGACATCCCCCCCCCAAAAAAAAAAAATCCTTACCAACCTTCAACCTTACTCAGTAGCTTTTAAAGAGCAGACTTTCTTTTCCTTGGCACTTTGCCCTGATGATGTCATTTTCTTTCTGTTGTCATTAAGGCGGTTCTTAGGATGCTCTTTTCTGTAATGGAATTATTACATCAGAAAACCATCACCAAAACAGTCTTTTCTTCGGGAATAAGATCTCTAGTATCATTACCACAAAGAAAAGGCATTTTAGTGTCCTGATATCTACTTACCTAGATAAAGGTGTGAGAGTCAAACAAGTCAAACAAGTCAACTTGATTGTTTTTATATAAACCCTTTCAAATTTTATAGGATGAAAGCAAGATTTTTAGATGAACACAATATTTGTTCAGATATTCTTTACCAGGGATTGAACTCAGGAGCACTTAACCACTGAGCCACAGCCCCC